ATTGGGGTATAAACAAAGAACTAAGAACACGCATTGAAAAAGCCAGAGAGTTCTTCTATAAACAAAAGATAATTCTCATTAATAGAGAGATTATTAAAGAAAAGGAAGATCCAGAACCAGATGGTTGGATGACGACGAAGATAATAGATGAAATCTATGGACAAGAATAATAAAGACAATGAAGCTAGATGAATAGCCAGACAGGCAAATACTCATCCAGGATTATAATGCCAAAAGAAGAAATCGAAAAGAAAAATCAATGACTTTTACCATTGTTTTGATACCAGATGTTTTTAAATTATTCAAAACATTGCAGATATGTGCACAAAAGGTTATGTATATAACAAATTTTTGTGGAAAAAGGCTTAACTTAATCTAAGCAAACCTCACGTTTTACCAAACTTATTTTATAAGAACTAGGTACTAAGAAAATTTATTAAAATATACCATGTATCTCCGAAGGTAGAATATATTATACAAAATATTTCGTATAACGCTGGTGAGAATTCTCTCTGTTGAGATATAGAATGACCGTTATCACCGACAGTTCTTTTTTCATGATATCTATTGATTTTTAAAAACAAAACATATTTTAAATAGAAAATACATAAAAAATTAAGTAAAAGCATTTTATAACAAACTGAATCCATATACATTTCAGGTTTGTAGAGGTCCTAACTTCTTACTACACTGGTATTATACCGGGTCGTTATCTTATAGGTACCATTGGTCATATTTAAATAATGCTTATACTACGTATTTGTTGTCACTTGGTCGTATTAATTTAGCAGTTATATTTACAAAAGAACAAAGTATTTTGACTTTAAACACTACAAAATGAACTCCAAAACGAGCTCAAAATTACAAATGTTAAAGACGAAAACTCTGTAAACGTCTGTTTTTCCGCTTTCATTCTTCCAGTCTCAAGTTGGAAGATTAAAAATATTGGGCGTTGCCAGGTCCCATTTAAAAATAAAAATGTCCAATATTTAACAGTAACAGTAAGCAAGAAGGCATCAGTAAGTAATAAAAAAAGTAACTCACCTGGATTATTGTGATTAACTGGATTAAAAAAAAGAGTCGTCGTTCTGGAGCCAAACCGCGAACCTACGCGCAAGGCTCCAGAAAAAGGACTAAATTAAATTAAATTTGTTAATTTACAATTTGTCACAGTCGAGTATTTATTCATAATTCATATACAGACAATGCAAATACCAGCGCAGCACTGACTTGACCTTGACTATTTAGATAAGCAGGGGGCGAGTGGGGTAGTTCGGTAGTTCGGTTTACCAAGTAGTTTGTTAGTTGCAGAATTAGATGATACGTAGTTGGGAAAATATACAAAAATAATTTGAAGTTCTTAAAAAAAATTGCGAACGAATGAGTTCCAAATTTAAAATACGAGTAAAAAATATTCATAATTTAGTAATTCGATCATTTGGCTTCCACTTTTTTCAGAAGCGATGGATTCCGTATTAGAATTGGTATTAATAGAGTGTTATGACGTCACTTCAGCATCCTTGCTTCGTCAGACACTCTGTCTGATACAAAATCAAACACGGAAAGCCCAACGAATCTCTCCAGTGATCTAGGTTTCTGTCTGTTGCATTCTATTATTTTGCGATCTCTCTTGATGCATGTCTAATATGCATCGCTCCATTGACATTTAAAAGACTTGGAGTATCGCTATAATCTCTTTTTTTAGTATCTAAGTTTCGCAGACCTGTGCCATGATTGTTAATATACACTGATCGAATGCTCTTTTTTCAGGTGTAGTGGCATTTTAGATTTTAATGTAACAGCAATTTTACCAAAAGATACTCAAGCCAATTTCATTTTCCTGTCGATTTCTAGAAGTAAGGAGGCAGATTTATGTAGTAATTTTTCCGGGTATACATACTCGTTTACCGTCTCAAAAGCAGTGTTGTTTATTATTACATCTTGGATACAGTGTTCTTTATTATTACATCTTGGATAGCCACTAGCCCATTATACATGGTTTCTGTTTTCTCCAAGTTCATCTTTAGTCCAACTTCATCGCTAGCTGCATTTACCTTTTGTAGTTCTTGAGAGTCTTGTAAATCTTAGATGACTTAGTAGGGCGCCCAACGTGGGACCAACGTGAAACCAATCAACCACCCATCAGAAACGTTTGGTGCCAATATGGTTTGGTAACAATATATTTACCTCAGAAAGTTGGGAGCCAATGGAGAAGAATAAAACTCTCAACAATAACTCAGAATAAAATGAATTTTTAGCACCTTTTTTTTTGAAGCACTAGCTTAAATAATCCCCCTCCAGTTAAAATGACATGACAGCAGAGTTGTCAACTGACAGATATACTGTCTATTGAAGTCAGGCATAGAAATTTATATGTTCCATGTCTGTGACATAGACATGGAGGCTGGAGTCAAATATAGGAAGTATAACTAAAATAAAAATTTTCATATATATATATTTTCATATATATATATATATATATATATATATATTATATATATATATATATATATATATATATATATATATATGGAACCTAGAGCTAAGATTAATATTATTACTAAAATTAATATCAAACTCACCAGTCTTCCGGGTTGAACCACGTCGATATCCATTTTGCCGAGCTTTCGGCATCCTCTCTGATCCCTTTCTCAGGGCTTCCGAGGTCTCAGTCTCCCGAGCCCCCAGACACTACTACAATGTTCACTATTCACTGCACTGTCACTACTACAGTACTACAGTAGCACTTGACACTAATGATATTTGTGAAATTTATTTATTATTATTATTTTCCTCTAATATATAAATCGATTTCTAACTCTTTAAGTTGTTTGTAATAACTTGGACTTGGTGATATGCGAATAGTATTTAATGTGATATTTTTCTAGATGATATTTATACTGAATATAGTTTAAAGTATTTATTGGGACAGTGCAAGTTCGGAAAAGCGACACCTGGTGTCGTAAATCAGCAAAATTTACTGCGCTTTCATGTTAGATCGAGGTTACCGGATAACTGTCAAGGACAGGCCCAATAAAGAATAAGAAGAAAAAGTAAGATTGAGGTTATGTCGGTATGTTATTCAGAGATATATCTCTGATGTTATTCAAAGGTAAACGTAAACGTTGTATGTAGTGTAAATACAAATATTATTAAATTACAGCATTACTGTTAATATGGATACAATAATAAAAACTAGATTTGAGAAAGTAAATCACCAACTAACTTTTCAACCAAGCACTGAGTCAAATGGAAAAGCTTTAGTAGTGGCAAATGTCAAAAAAGAATGGAAGAATTAAGAAAAATAAATTACCATAAATAATGCTACTGCATAAATTAGCAGGTTACGCCCACGATATCATCATATTGGTTTGAACAATTAATTCTTTCCCTGTAAACTTTTGGACGGCGAATATATCTTAAGGCATCTTCAGAAAAACTTGAACTTGATGCATTTTTGTAAACTTCAAAAAAAATAAAATTTAAACATTAAACTTGATTTTTGGGTTAAAATGGACTCTAAGTGCGTGTTATGAAACTAAAATTTACACTTAAAAGTGAACTTTTATTTATTATTTATTTCAAACTGACTTTAAAATCGGGCGCAAGAATAATGCATAATTGAGGTTATGTTACTTATGCTTTTTTATGATATAAATCCACTTTTCTCTTTGTAGTAATTTGTGCTTCGAAGTTGGAAACGAATAAAACTTAAATTGACAATTTTTTGTTGTATTTTTACAATTTATAACACAGCATTCCTTAAATCCCATTGTCTTTAGTGACAGAAGGTGTAAATTAACAAACGAATATGAAATATGACAGTTGACAATATGAATTTATGAAATCTATGAAATTTACAGTAAAAAATGCAAGATTTCTCCGCTACTCGCGCCCGATCGTTTCTCGTATCACATCCAAGTACTTGCACGTTGCCAATAAATGTATGTTATTTATATCTAATTATGATAAGAAAACGACAACTATCTTTTAAATGTAGTGTATACTTGTTAAGAAGCATTTTCATTTTGTTTTCATCACAATAAAAGAACATTAGTAAAGTAATGTTGTGTTTTAGTTTGATTTATTGATACAGTTGGTTTTGTTTTTTCTAGTTGTAGATCATCACAAGAAAACTGCAAAATTATGCAAGAATGTAACATAATAGATTGGATATGTTGATTATCTCACAGAAATCCAGTATTTTTTAGTAAAGTTTATTTGTTGATAGCAAATGGAACAAACTCACTGTCAAAATTAAACAAGAATCCAGCATTAAAGAAATTGTAAGTACACACTTATTTATACAAAGTATCTGGTAAAAAAAAAGTTGATTCAAGAAATTGATTATACCAGAATAAGAATATGGTCTACTATTAAAAGACAAATTTCGGAGAAAAACCCTACTTAGATCTGTAACATTATTGACTTTTCCGATCAAAATATTCTCTAATTTATAATTAAATACCATAGACTCAAGAGATCTATAAAACTGGATCACCCGATATTTATATATATATATATATATATATATATATATATATATATATATATATATATATATATATATACATGGGACCAAATGTGAAAAAACTCCTTTTTTATTGTAATAATTGTAATATATATTGGAAGTGAATTGAAAAAAATTATTTTATTATTCAAACATAAATAAAAAACGTTAGGTTAAAATTGACGTGTGAGGTTGTCCGATATTGATTACTCGATTACTGCAAGGCCGAGATAATCAACAAAAAAAGAAGATGTATTTGGTGACTTTTTTAGTAACTTTCTTGGGTGTGAATCTGTCTTTTTGGTTTACTCCTACTGGTTAAAAAACAGAGTATAGTATATGATATGAATGTAATCTTATTGACGTTATAAATCGTTACCTCAAAGTTAGTCATGCAGGGAAATACAAACAACTCCATAGATTATAAGAATCATAAATAAAAATTGTGATCGCTTTAGGATTACATAATAATGAAAAACACACTTTGGTATTAACGTTTATTTTCATGTTTTCTTCTAAACTCATTCATAAACACAACCAACTTCTTAACTTCTTCTACAGTTACAGAATTAAATAAAGAAGCTCTAATACCCCCCACTAACGAGTGTCCCTTTAACTGCAACATGTTTTTATTAGCAGCTTCACTCAGAAATTCTTTTTCAATTTTTTCATCGCCATCATTAATACGAAATGTTATATTGATCCTGCTGCGGACATTCTTCTCGGCAGGAGAATGGTAAAAATTGTTAGATTGGTCGATTGTGTCGTAGAGTAATTGGGATTTTATCTTACACGACGATTCCATGGTGGGAAGTCCTCCGTTACGTTTATTCCATTGGAAAATTTTGTCCATAACGTATATCCTGACAAATATAAAAAAATATGACTTTAAATGAAATCAATCGGTCATGAAATATTCAGATAATATTAAGGAAAAACTTTTATATTGTTACGATAAATATGACTCATAACTGTAAACATATTATTTCTAATTCTATTCTATTCTAAGTATTTACTAGAAGTTCTCCGCTTTACTAAAAATTTGTCTAGCGTGTCCTTCCAGTCTATTCGAGAGGGGTTGCCGGGATTCCAGATTAACGGTGTTTTATATATAAGGTGGAAAATTTATTGTTAACAGTTAGTTTTAGTCTAAATATAATGTATCGAGTTTGAATTATTGTCTGGAATATAAATTGTAATAAATGTAAATAAATTATATAATTATGGTGTAAAAATAAATTAGTGTAATATTGAATAAATAAAGACTTTAATAAATTTGTAAGTGTTGTAAAAGTGTAGAACCTTTTATAATAAATGAAGACAATAAATTAGATTAATAAAAACAATTCAATATTATACAGCTGTTCTGTTTCTTTACTATACAGTCATTAGCAGATGTATTGAAAAAGTCTTCTTATTGTTATGCAATAAGATACAAAATCTTATCGAGACGGTTGTGTACATTTTTAAATAAATAAAATTAGGATGTTTTGGTTTTTTTAGTTCATGTCTGCTTCAACAGATACTATATCAAGCACTTTTCTGGCCCACTGATCAATAATTTTCTTTATTTTTTTCCTATTTAGAGTATTCCGTGTACATGTGCCAATGCCTATGTTTCACAAGTCTTCTTTGATATATTATATATTTTTTTTCTACTTGCCCGTGGCTCTTGCAAGAGTGTAACACTTTTTAGGATCGTTTCTTTCATCCGAATTACATGGTACATCATGGTCTAGCCATGACTTTGTTTTAATCGCAGACAGCAGTATATGTTTGTTTGTGTAAAAATAAAAATAAAAATAAAAAATAAGCTATTGTTCCAAAAAAATTCTTAAAAACTTACGAAAAAATTGGAGGTGTATTTAAAATAGAGTTGTATTCATTCAATGTCTTAAAATTTAATATTCCAGGGCAGTAGGATGCAGCATAACCTAAGAGATCTTCACGAATTATTAATAGAGCAACTCCAGCTGTACCTAAATTTTTCTGAGAGGCTGCAAAAATGATACCAAACTGATTTGGTAAGGAGTTAAAAATTATTAATATAAATAGCACTTCATTTCTTATATAAAACCATTTACCTTTGATACATCAATTTCTTTTGTTAAAATATTGGAAGACATGTCAGCTACTAGAGGGATAGTTCCTGTATTTGGTATGTCAGGGAATTCAACGCCTAAAAATATCGTTAATGCCAATTAAAGATGTTTTTCTATTTCCGGTAAAACATGTGCTTGTTTATAACATTTTAAACCTTCCGTTACATACATAAAAGCACGTTCAAGGAAAAAAAAGCAGTAGATCTTGATCTATAGAGAAGCTTACTAAAGGAGGCTAAGCTTCGACGGGTTGTAGTACCATTAAATGGATGGATGAAAGCCTGTTAGTAGGTGACCTCTGCTTGTATTCAAGCATGATCACCTGAAAGGATCTACCTCTATTTTTGTGAATGTGGTCAAGCTAAAGGCTTGTTCTATGCAGCTATACGCAGTTCTAAATCTAGCTTGTTCTATGGGAGTAATTTCCAAGATTTTATCTCTAATCCTTTAAAGTATTAGTGTTTAAACTAGCGCTCACTATGTGAGTGCTATTGTAGCCTCACTCTCAGGTTTACCAGATTTTAGAACTGCGACAGTATTTGATTGTGTGAATTCTTTAGGGACCAAGTCAGATTCTATTATTTCATACACATTTTATTAGCCTCTATGAGGGTCGCTGGGAGAGGAATTTATAGATATTTACTCAAAAAAAAACATGTCACAAGCTTTTTGATGGTCCCCTTTAACATCTTATATTCGTCTTTACTACTTTGATATGGTCTTTATTTAATTCGAACACCTGTCTTATTAGGGCAACTAGGATAGCTACCTGATTAAGATGTTTCTGGATCGAACGCCGTCGATCGGCTTTTCTGCTAAAGTGTATAAACTTTGTACATTTAGTAAGAGGAGGACATTCACAATTCAACCCTGACCCAGAATGGAATAACACTATCATTATAGGAAGAGATTAATTATATCTGAATTAAACTTTATAGGAAATATACATTGAATGCATATCGTTTAAATTATCACCTCTAAACTTACAAGGGCTCTTTTTTTGTATCGTAGGCTTTTTTGACAAAATGTGAGGTTTGTTAGTTAAAATGATTTAAATAAATATGGATAGTTGTATGGTTCGTATGGTATTCGTCATATACAATGATTGTTAGACTAATAAATATTTATGACATGTTAGTTTGATGGACCAAAAAGATGCAACAAAAAGTGGAATAATATGACTGGATATTAAGAGATTCTAAGGGTTAGAACAACACAGTATGACGGCAAAACAAAATTTTTAACTTTCATTAAATGTCATTATAAATAAGTTTGAGTTAAGACAAAACTAAATCAATAAATAAAATCATAATAAGGTACATCACTCACCGTCTATGGTATCATTGTCACAATAGAAGACATACGCTGCGTTGGGATCTAAGTTCCAAACCCTCGGATCGGAAATTTGGCCTTCTTTCGCCGCAATATTGATCTTGCCATATTTTTTAGCTTCCTCCGCTGCTACTTTAGACCAAGTTCCAGTTACTAAGTAATCTGCGCTGCCTGTTCTCCCAATGAGGTTCATGGGAATAGCAGAGAAGGCTCCTTGGCCCCCACCTGCCACGAACAAGATTTTATAATTCGCCGGAATGGTCCTAAAATGGGAGAAAGTGCATAAATAATAAATAATAAGACTTTAAACGAAATGAATGAAAATGATATATGCCAAATACTGACAAATATAATAATTAAAAAAATCAAAAAATCTGTAGAATAATTACAGGGGTCTAGCAAAGGGATGCAGAACAGGAAGATCGACGATCAATTCTATAACATACTTTGACCAAATTCTAGAAAAATATTGGAAATATAACAATTATCTATATGTGTTAATTTTTAAATTTTAAATGAGCTTTTGACGCGATAAAGAGATAAGGGAAGAGAAGAAAAGTGTGGATACAGGCATTTTTATAAATAAGTCCTTTATCATAAAAAATATTACGGGTATTTTATTTATTCTAAATACGCTCGATAAGCTGTTTATTAGACCCTTAACTTTTATTATTACGCAGAAAATGTTTGTATAACAATGACCTACATAATCTATAAGATAAAAATAAATCGCAAAATGTGTTGGTTGGCGCATAACTCAACAACACATGAACCAATCTTAACAATTCTTTTTTTTTAAATGTTCATTGAAATCTAAGGATGGTTTTTACGGAATGAAAAATTCGAATAATTTTCGGAAAAACCCTAAAACGGCCCTTTTCTTTTTCCCATATAAATATTTTTTATCTAAATGTAGAGTCATTTTAAACTTTATTGCTATTCAATTAAGTTTTTATTAAATTACAAGCACTCACTGTTGTCTAAACAATGTAGGTGTGTTTCTAACGCCTAAGATTCAATTTGCGGTTTATTGTCGCTGAACAAAGTTAAATTCAATCAAATGTATATGTGTGCTCGTTCGTGTGTGTGTGTGTGCGTGTTCGCTTTGAAGGATCTAATGCGTTCACATAAAAGTGATAATATCGTGTACCCGATCATAAAAAATTTATTGAACAACGTGATAGAAGCAACTATACTGAAAGGAAAGTGTAAAGGAGAAGACGTTTTGATACCACGCATCCCAATGATTCCGACTGATATACCATTTGAATTCAAACGACTACAGTTTCCAGTGCGGCTTGCTTTTGCTATGACCATAAATAGGTTCCAGGGGCAATCATTAGGTGTTTGTGGTATCTAGAAAACCCATGTTTCTCACATGGTCAATTGTATGTTGTTTGTTCCCGTGTTGGAAAGCCATCAGATTTGTTTGTATATTGTTAAAAATGGTAATTAAAAACTGGAAATGGAGATGGAAAAATGGAGTAAACTATCCATCCCGACTAGTTGTTATCATCCTTAGATAGGCACAGTATCTTTAATTGAATCTGATATTTCCATAAAAACTGATATCTGAGGTTATATCGGTCATATTTCCTCCCATCCAGTCGTTTTTTGACTGGATAGTAGGAGATTTGTTTTCAATTACGACAATTAGGGTGATTGGTTAGGATAAGATCAATATCCCCTATTCTTTACACTATTATATACAGATATATCACGTTTCAAAAGATATGGATGAGTTTAAAGAAGTGATCACCAACCTTCGTTCAAAGACGACACAACAACAAGAAGAAAAAAGGTACTTGCAGTAAGTAATAATACAAAAGTTATACTTACAGTAAGTTACGTAATGTTTTTTGTGCATTTGCATTTATTTGGGCATATTGGTCACTCCTATGGCTTATTTCGGTTATACTCATACCGGTTTGCCCATAAGAAAGCATTTCTTTCTGAATATCTTCAAGAACCTAGAACGTATAAGTTAATAATAAAAGTAAAAATTTTAATTTGTACTGCCCGTCTTCTACAAGCATTATATTTAATATCCTAAAACCACTATGGTGGGAGAAGGGTTGATAAATGGTACTGGTACTAACTCTATATTAAAACAGCATTTTTATTAAGGTATATTCTTTTAATTACAAATAAGCCAAAACGCACAAATTCTGAATTAGCAAAGGTATCCGCATATCAGACATGAATATTGAATATGCCTTCACTACTGTACATCAAGAAATTTAATACCAACGACGTGTTCACTAAATATACCACCAAGTACAGAGGAACTTCATCATCATCATCACTGGCTCGACAACCCTTTTTGGGTCTTGGCCTGTTCAAGGATTCTTCTCCATTCTGACCTGTTTCGTGCTTTTTTTTTCCAGTTTTTAATTTTTAATGTTGTTATATCATTTTCTATTTGTTCTACGTATCTCAGCTTCGGTCTTCCTCCTGTTCTTTTTCCTACTGGCACTTGTTTGAATATTTTGTTTGGTATTTCGCCTTCTTCCATTCTTTTCACATGTCCAATCCAACGTAGCCTTCCTATTTTCATGAATGTTATGATATCCGGATCCTGGTATATGTTGTATAGTTCAAAGTTATACCTTCTCCGCCAAATCCCGTTTTCTTTTGTGCCCTTATATGTGTCGCAAGATTTTTCTTTCAAAGGTGGCTAATAACGTTTCCTCCCTTTTAGAGAGTGTCCAGGTTTCTGAACCGTATGTGAGTACCGGTCTTATTAAGGTTTTGTATATTTGGCATTTTGTTTTTCTGGAGACGTTATCTGATCTTAGTTGCCTAATTAAGCCATGGTAACATTTATTGGCAATAAATATTCTCCTCTTCACTTCCTCTGCAACGTTGTTATCAGACGTAACTAGGGATCCTAAGTATGTAAAGTTTTTTACCGCCTCGATGTTGTATTCTCCTATTGTTAAATTTGGCAGCTGCCTTATTTGTGCTTTTTTATTTGCAGGCATATCTTTTGTTTTTGTCTGATTGATTTTAAGACCACTATTTTTTGCAGCTCGTTCTATTTGAGTGAATGCCTCTATCATTTCTCTTCTTGATCTTGCGATTATGTCAACATCATCTGCAAATGCTAGTACTTGCACGCTTTTATTAATTATTGTTCCTCGGGTATTAACTGTTGTGTCTCTTATTATTTTTTCAAGTATGATGTTGAATAATATGCATGATAGAGCGTCTCCTTGGCGTAGTCCCTTCTTCACATCTATTGTTTCCGTTAATTCGTTTTGTATCCGGATTTTACTTTCTACTTTTAGAGTTTCTTTTATCAATTCTATTAGCTGTGTTGGTATATTAAATTCTTTCATTACTTTTGTTAGGAATTCTCGGTTTATATTGTCATATGCGCTTTCGAAGTCTATGAAGAGATGATGTGTGTCGATGTTATATTCACTTGTTTTTTCAAGGATCTGTCGCAGAACAAATATCTGGTCTATTGTTGACTTCTGTCTACAGAAGCCACATTGGTATTTGCCAACTATTTTTTCAGCGTATGGTCTAAGTCTTTCATACATTACGTTGGACATTATTTTGTATGCCGCATTCAACAGCGTGATTCCACGGTAGTTTTCACATTCTAACTGGTTTCCTTTTTTATGTAGTGGTACAATAATGCCGCTATTCCACTCCTTTGGTAGCTGTTTATTCAACCATATCTTTCTTATCAGCTCATGTATGGCTTTAAGTAATGCGTCTCCTCCTTCTTTCAGTAGCTCCGATGATATTTGATCCGATCCCGGTGATTTATTGTTCTTTAATTTGTCCACTGCTGTTCTAATCTCTGCTATTGTTGGTGGACTCTTTTCTCTGTTGTCTGCTTGGTCTAACGGTATATCAGGGTTCATCTCCGTCCTATTCACCCCAAGCTTTTCCTTAAAATGTTCTGTTCATCTTCTAAGTATCTCTTGCTGTTCTGTCAATATATTACCCTCCTTATCTTTACACATCGTTGTTCTCGGTTTGAACTCTTTTCTGCTTTTGTTGAGTTTCTGGTAAAATTTTCTTGTCTCTGTTGGTTTACTTAGTTCTTGTAGTTCTTGAAGTTCTTTGTTGATATATTCTCTCTTCTTTCTTCGGTGAATTTTCTTTTCTTCTTTACGTAGTTGTTTATATTCTTCCTCTGCTTGTCGGGTTCTGTAACTCTGTTGCATCTGTAGATATGCTCTGTTTTTTCTTTCTCTTATAGTTTGACATTCTTCGTCAAACCAGTGATTCGTTCTTGTTCTTCTTTCTTTACCTTCCATGCCCAACACCTCTTTAGCTGTTTCTTTTATGATTTCTCTGCACTCTTCCCACTCCTCATTTAGGTTTTCATGTTTTAGTCTGTTTTCTAGTTTGATGCTTGTATTTTCTTTGTACTCTCTATTTTTGTTTGTTTCTTTGACTCATTCTATATTGTATCGTTCATGTTTAGAGCCTCTTTCCTTTTTGATGTTTGAAATTCTAGCCCTTATCCTACTTTCAACTAGGTAGTGATCAGAATCCGCATTTGCCCCTCTTCTGGTACGGACGTTTATTATATTCGATTGGTGTCTTTAGTCTACAATAACATGATCTATCATATTCACTGTAAGTCCGTCTGGTGATTTCCAGGTGCCTTTGTGTACATCTTTTCGAGCGAAGTATGTGCTGGCAATCACCATGTTAAGTGATCTTGCTAGGTTTACCAACCTATTGCCATTGTCATTTGATTGCTCATGGAGACTGTGCTTACCTATTGTGGGTTGGAATTGCTGCTCTCTTCCAACTTTTGCGTTTAAGTCTCCTCATAAATTATTTTTATATCACTTTTTGGGCATGACTGGTATGCGGACTCTAATTCATCATAAAACTCTTCTTTGACTTCCTCCTCTTTTTCTTCTGTGTTTAATTCTTAAAATACACATTCTGGGACTGATGGTTCTGAAGTCTTTTATTATATGTCTTACTCTCTTGTTAACTATGAATCCAGTGCCCAAAATTGTATGAATCCAGTGCCCAAAATGAAAATGGTATGGCTCTTTTTTTCCATAATATTGTTTCCAATCCACCTCATTTCTTGTATGGTAGTTATGTCAATTTTGTATCTACTTAGTTCGTTTAAGAGATTTTGGAGAGCCCCTAATCTGTACAATGTTCGAACATTCCATGTCGCAACCCTCAAATCGTGTTCCTTTTTCTCGCACAGTCGTCGACGTTTAATCAGTCCGGCTTTTCTTCCTTGAACGTTCATAACTCATGGTTTTTCTAGGAGAAGGTAGTTAACCTTCAGCCCAACCCCCTATTCGTCGGAGGACCAAGACTCCCTTCTTCGTTAGCCCTGACCCCACCTTCCATTGGGGGTTGGTTACCCAATCTCCAGTGAGGTTGCTCAGGTTACCGGTGTGTACCAGCTTGGAGGTGAAGATAGGAATTGAGTAGGAGAGGCTAAGTGATGCCAACAGGATACGACATCATGTATTGCGCTTCACTACCCCTTTACAGACCACAGAGGAACTTATCTAAAACTTATCAAAACAGCTACAAAAACGTACTGTCAAAATCGTCTGGGAAACTCTAACAGTATTGCAACAGAAACTTGGCACATAATAAACGATCTTAGAAAAAAACTAACACAACTCAAATATTTTCCCTCCCAAACCCTAAGAATCTTAATCTTCGTTAATGTGAGTAAAAATATAACATCCACTATTTTACAAAAAGATCCCATTTCCTGTCTCTCTTATTTATAAAGGTAATAAAATTAATTATTTATAAGACCAGTTGATAAATTTGAACTGATACAAACAATCAATAGTAACGAAAGCAAGTCATCCTGTAGTACTGATGGACTTTCCACAAAATTTTTTTCAAATTTTTAAAAAAATCTGTTGGAAGTCCTGGTCTCACTAACTAATAATTGCTTTGAAACAGATATATCTCCAGAGTACTTTAAGAGAGCCATTAATATTCCTCTTCAAAAGAGTGGTGAAAAATCGAATGTCTGCAACTATAGACCTATTGCCTTACTACCGGTCAGTGGCGGCTCGTGACATCTGCTATAGGGTGTGCTGCATGAACCACGGTCAATATAAAATAATAGAAATAGAATAACATACGAAAACAAAAACAATAAAATTAGCTTTAATACTAATTAATAGTAACTAATAACGACATGCTATAAAAATCTGATTAACTTACATTTATTGCATTTTTCTAAATTGGAAATTAATACGCCGGTCCTTTTTTGTCGCAAACTTTTCGATTACTTTATCGTTAAAGTTCGGTATTGAAGCGATGAACTTTTTTTCTATCGAGAGTGTGGAAAGGGCTGTTAATCTGTCTTCGCACATTGAATTTCTTAAAAATGTTTTGATCCGTTTTAAAGTTGAAAAACTACGTTCAGCTTCTGCTGTGGTCATTGGCGTAGTCACCAGAATTTGTATCAACTTTTTGGTTTCTGTTAATGTGTCCTCTAAATTATTAGAAATTATAAATTTTAGTAAAGGCACTGCACCTTTTAATGTTCTACACTCGATATTGGAATACAAAACTGACAGTTCTGTTCGCAAACGGTTTTTATCAAAGAAGTTATAAGCTGTACAAGTTAAATCCAATTCATTTTCAGGAAACTTATTATTATATTTTTCGAAATGTTCTGAAGATAAAAGTGTTGCGGCAACTAGATGATTTGTATATGCAAACCGTTCTTTTGCATTGTTTATAATAACATCACAAACTTCTAGACAGGCAATACGGTGATCCTGTTGGCTGTTATTTGGGCGTTTCCTTTTTTGGACACTAGGCGCCGCATTTAAATTTGAAGCTTGATGTATGATAGGGTCTATTTTATTTCGGACATTGTTAATACTTTGCTCAAAAACATGTATAGCTTTCTGTGCTTCGGTTGGGTCCATGTTCTTTTTTTGAAGATTATTGTACAAAACGTCAACATGTGGCATAATATAATGAAAAACAGTCAGCCAGAAAGTAAAATTTTGATCTTCCAGAATACGTCTAAGTCCTCTTGCTTCCTTGGAAGTAATAGCATTTGACTCTTCTTCTAGTTGCTCCATACACTCAATAATAAAGTCTCTATATTCGTAAACGACATTTACTGTACGAATATTGAAATTCCAGCGTGTAGGGATTGAACGAGGAATATTTTTTCCAACTATTTGATTTAAGACAGCTATTCTTTGAGGTGAATGACTAAAAAATCCAGGTATATCATGTAAATCTCCAAAAAATACGCGTACTTGGGAATTAATAGAACATGCTCTTGACATTATTAGATTCAATTGATGGGCGTAACAGTGCACAAAATGAGCAGTTTCATATTTTCTCTTAATTATTGTTTGCACTCCGCCATGTATCCCACTCATAACAGCTGCTCCGTCATAACTTTGTGCAATGAGCTTATTTTTGTTATTCTTTAATATTGGGTCTAAAACATTCAAAATTGTGTTAGCTAAGGTTTCAGCATCATGTTTTTCTGGAAGCAAAAAAGTCCAAAACCTTTCAACTGGAGCACCGTTTTTTACATAACGAAAAACAATGACCATTTGAAATTTCATAGAAACATCCGTTGTCTCATCAGCTATCACTGCTAAAAATGGGGCTTCATTGATTTCGTTTAAAATCTCCTCAGCGTATACTTCTAGCATGCAATCCAAAATATCATTTTGTATTGTTTTTGAGGTACCTTTGAAAATTGTCGCATTTGTAAGGTGTTCACTAAGTGTTTTATCAAGTTCAGCAGAAAAATTCACTAAACCACGAAAAATTCCAGGGTTATCTGATGTTTCAGATTCATCGTGTCCTCGTAAGGCGAGCTCAAAAGCCCCACAGAATTTTATACAGTCAATTATTTTTGACAAAACATACCTGTTTTTCGTCACCTCTTCATTGTGTTTTTGTATATTTATCCAATAAGCAGAGTCAAGTTGGGCCTGTATATTAAGTTTCCCAAATAATGCAAATCGCATTTCATTGTTCATATGAGTTTGCGTGTTTTCATGCTTCTTTATTTTTTCACTTAAATGCACTAGATCCCGCACTCCTGTCTCGCGCCACAATTTTTCCTCTTTATCTGCGCCGAATAATGCACACGGAAAACAGAAAAAAGCATTTTTTTCGGAACATCCACAAATCCACTGATTTCGTAGATACATGTCTTTATTAAATTTACGCGTATATGTTTTTCCACGGCTTTTACCGGACACTTCAATATTAAGATCAGGCATAGGACGGCCACGTTCTTTTATAATCAACTGTTGTTGATAGTGAAGTTTTTGAAATTTATTTACACCTAATTTAAATTGAAACTCCATTGTTTTAAACACGCTCGAACAAAACAAATTAAACAAAATTGTAACCTAAGAATTTCTAAACACGGCACAGATGCAACGGTCACGAACATCTGTCGTGAATTGCAGCTCGCAAACACATTTCCGAGGCCGTTAATCAGCCGATTGCCGAAGCACATCGGCTAAGATCGCCGTTTGCCTAATAAACGCATTTTACCGCTGCCAGTGTTTCGGTTGTTATCGACGCGGCTTCACTGGAGCAGCAAATACGTAAAAAGATTGCTTCACTGGAGCACCAAATACGTAAAAAAATTATACGGTTTCACTAGAGGAGTAAATACGTAAAAAAATAATATTAATCATCGTTGTTGGTGAATTATTATTAACAGTTTATGTTTAATATGATAATATGGCAGATTTGAAATAAAACTATATTAATTATTCTTTAATAATTAAGATTTGCTATGGTTGTTTGGTAGTTCTGCAGCTCAGCAGCACATAAAGAAAAGCCGCCACTGCTACCGGTACTATCCAAAACTACTGAGTTATGAGGTTTACTAAACAATCTTTACGCTGCCACTTTTTTGTGTGACTATGATCTATGTTTTTGATTGTGTAAACATTTTAATAAAAAAACTAAATTTCTACGAAATTTGATATATTTTTTTAAATTGGTTCCACTCTTACTTAGGAAACAACTAGTTATAGCAAATGAGGCCGATTCTAGTCACATAAGAATTGTATGTGGAGTACTACAAGATTCAATATTGAGTAATCTACTTTTCCTTCGTTTTTCTTTTTTCCTTTTTTTTCAATCTTTATAAATGACATCACTAATTTAAAAATCGATGGAAAAATTTGCCTTTTTGGTAATAATACCAGCATCACTTGAAGAAACTCTAATATTGCAACCATAAATTCTGATCTGAACTAAATCAAACAATCAAACCATCCCTCTATACTTACGAAGCAAGGTATATAACTCCTGTATAATACCGGTGCTCACCTACGGAGCACAGACATGGACATTTACACACGCCAATTTGGATAGGATAAGGAAGGCACAAAGAGCGATGGAGAGACAAATGCTGGGTTTATCACTTAAAGATAGAAAACGTAATCAGTGGATCAGGACCAGAACAAAGACAGTAGACGCGATAGAACAAGCAGCAAAACTGAAATGGAAATGGGCTGGACACAATGAACGTCTCCAAGACGGAGGATGGAACAATGCCATCGGAAAGTGGCGTCCATACAATGCAAAGAGATCAAGAGGCAGACCACAGATGAGGTGGAAAGATGACATCAGGAAACAAGGAGATCCCACATGGCAGAGAACAGCTCAAGATAGGGAAAGATGGAGAGAACTGGGGGAGACCTATATCCAACAATGGAAGGATAGAGAATAGATTAAAAAAAAACTTTTGATCTAATTAAAACAAAAACCTGGTCCGACTGTAATTCACTCTCCTTTAACGTGGATAAGACAGTAGAATTATACTATAAAGTACTTCTTCAACCCTTGCTTCTTAATTAGAGTCAGGCAAGTATCGTTGATTCTGTAACATTTCTTGGTATTTTTATAGACAGTAACCTTCAATGGTCCCTTTACATCAATTTGTTAAGTAAAAAACTAGCTTCAGTCTGCTTTGCAATAAGATCCGTTTTGAAGGAAATCAATTTATCATCTTCCAAAATAACATATTTTTCTTTGTTCAAGTCTTATCTTCAATAAGGTCTTCTTTTTTGCATTTCTAGTACAGCTGTCTACCCTGATGTTATTTATAAATTATAAAAAAGAGCAATACGATATTTTTTGGCCTCAGTATAATAACACACTACAGAAGCTACACGAGATTTTAACGCTTCCCTCTTTATATATTTTATAAAGTGTTTGCTTAATTCGTAAACATGTACCTATGTGTTTTTCTTGCAAGACCTAATCATGACTACTTCACAAGAAATTTAACATTTGATGTTTATTTACCGATCGCGTCTACTGAGTTAGTAAAGAAATCTATATTATATTGGATAAAAAAACTATACAACCAACTTCCTTTACAACATAAATCTCCATCATCTTTCTCCAAGTTCCGTAAAATGACAAAAGCTTATCTATCTCAAAGACCATATTATTTAGTAGAAGATTTTTCAGTAATTTTCAGTGACAATAAAGTATATTTCTATTCTATTCTGTTATAAAAAAATAAGCACTTGGAATAATAAACGGCGCATAAACATTATTGACGGGAAATCTGCCCTTATCTATTTCACTTACAAAAAATTAATATTCACGTATTTAGATTAGACTAGACTAGTCCAGTTTTCTTCGTAGAAGCGCTCTCATGTCAGTACAAAATTTAAACTTTGTTCAAGATACTCCAACTCTGTACGTATTATATGATTTCCATTTGTATCGTGAGATGTACTTGATGTTCAATTATAAGACACTGCCCCGAGTCCGTCCAACGCATCTCACTGACCCCCAAATGTAGGCAACTTATATCGCTAGAGAATGTTTGCCTAATTCCTCAAAACAACATTTAAACTTATTAATCTACAAGATCAATGACTTATGTTTCTCTTTTGGTAATTCATACTTTACCCAAAACCATGCAACACTATAGAGTTACATATAGGTATACATTAGGTATGTAAACTATGATGATTTACTGTTAGATGATTAATAATTATTTAATAAGTAGGTACCTTACGTAGGTACTTAATGTGTATAATTCTGTATTTATGGTGTAGTATACACGAACAATGGTGAGCTTATCAGTGACCTCGAAATGATCATAGTCTTATCATCAACTTTAAATTATAATAAAAAGTGTCTTACCTCTATGGGTAATTTTGCTGGGCCAGCTCCAAAATTAATGACACGTTTTTGTTCCATTTTTAATAATAAAAACCAAATGCTGTAGAACAATATTTATTGTCGATGTTATTTAAAATGTCAAAAACAATAATTATCATAAATATTTGATACAGACGAACTGCATTGATTTCTAATATGGTAGTGTTAGTACAGATTAGATACGAACGCACTCACCAGAGTAGGACTTGCCCTTTTCGTACAGGGAGTTATAAAGGGATAAATACTATACACTGACCCGCAAAAGTAACTGGACACTAAGCTTATTTTAAGTAAAATAAAAATATTAAAAACACTTAAACTCCAATAAATCATTTTTATTTTATGTTCAATAACAAACTACAAAATAAAAAACAAATTCCAAAATATTATGTAATGTATCTACATAACAACAAATCGAAGTTAAAGATTTTTTTCCAGAGTAAGATATTTTTAAACAAAAATTATAAAATATGGATACTAAAAACGAGTCTTCCTCCTCGAGCCCAAATAACAGCTTTTATCCCTTCTGGCAAAGACTGGATTAAAGTAGCAATCGCGTCTTGCGGTATTTGTTCCTACTCGTTTATTACTGCTTGTTCTAACGCTACCATAGTTTTAAACTTGCCATAATTTTGCCTAGCTACCCTTTCCAAGTTGTCACACAAATGTCTGTCCCGTTAAGATCTGGACTTCTAGAAGGCCAAGGTAGTAACTGAATACCAACATGTGTAAAGTATTGCATTGTCGTCCTGGCTATGTGCGGCCGAGCATTATCCTACATTAGAAAAACATTTTCCCCTACACAATTCATATAAGGTAACACATGTTCTTCCAGACATTCCCTAATATACCTATCAGCAGTAAGGCCACCTACCCCTATCATATCGAGATTCGTACGTGCTTACAAAGAAATGCCATACTATTACCTTTAGCGTTAAAAAATTTCGTAACATCTGAAATATTGGACATTACGGCTCTCGACTCACAATTCCCACTAATTGATCTTATAATTGTCAAGTGCCGGATTGGATAAAAATATTTTTATATAGTTGCTGTTTATTTACCTGATAGGTTAAGTTTGGTAGACTTTGAATATTTTCTTGATTGCTTAGGGCAATTTGATTACTTAAATAATGACTGCATAGTACTAGGCGATTTTAATGTTTCAAGGTTTATAGATAATGATATGGCTGATTTCAAAACTTCTGTAGTTTTAAATTTTGCGGGCTCACTGGCCTTAGAAAATTTAACAATGTTGTTAATTATTTGGGTAGACTGCTAGATTTAGTCTTATCGCATTTCAATTGTGAAGTAAAGTATGATGACTCACCTTTGGTCTATGAAGACTCTCATCACCCAGCTCTTCTAATAACATTTACGGATATATTTGTAAAAGAGCCTAAATTTAGGTATGGTTTGGAGTAATTAACTTACAACTTTTCCTGCAAATTTTCCTGCTTTTTATCGAGAACTGTATGAAACGGATTGAAATTCTCTGGATACATATAATGACGATAATGAAACTTTAAATATCTTTTATGATAAGAATTTTTCTGTGTTTAATAAGTATATTACAGTTTATAAAAATTTTAGTCATAAATACCCACCCTAGTTCGATGCTGATATCATTCACAACATCAAATTAAAAGCAAAGTTTAGAAAAAAGTTTAAACGATTCAAAAATCATTGTGATTTGCTTGAGTTTCAACGGTTAAGACACCTTGTCAAATCAAAAATCAGTTTGGCATACAATGTATATGTTGAGAATATGCAAATTGCTTTATCCATTAGCCCCAAGAAGTTTTGGTCATACGTAAATTCGAAAAATAATGGTTCAAGAATTCCTGGTGTGATGAAATAAATTGGCATTACTACCTCCAACCCACAATATATTGTGAATGTGTTTGCAGAATTTTTCAAGAGTGTTTTTCTTTCATCAGATATTAATTTCAAGGCTTACTCTTCCTCAGTTAGCGCAGATTACTTAAATTTTTATCCTATTTTAGAGTCTAAGATAATTTTTGCTAGTAAGAAATTGAAAGACAAAATGACGTGTGGACCTGATAATATTCCATCTTTTTTGGTTAAGGATTGCATAGGTGCCTTAACTGTGCCACTATTAAAAATTTTTAATTTATGTCTTCTTAACAAGGAATATCCGAGTCTCTGGAAGGAGTCAAAAGTGTGCCCAATATTCAAAACTGGTGAAAAGGGTCAGGTATAAAACTACAGACCAATTCACATTATTTGCAATCTATCGAAAGTCTTTGAAATATTTTTGTATAATCGTATTTATTCACACACTCGTAATCAGCTGTCTCAATATCAACATGGTTTTGTCTCCAATCGGTCCACTGTGACAAACCTATTAATAGTTACACAATATATCTCAGCGGCCCTATATAATAGAAGTCAAGTTGACGTCATATATACTGACTTTACGAAGGCGTTCGACAGAATTCACCACGGCGTATTACTTTTTAAATTGTGTCTCTTTGGCCTTTCTGAGGATGCCGTGACTTTTATGAGGTCTTACTTGTCAAATAGAACGCAGTTTGTTGCTTATAATGGTTACAAATCGGAAAAGTACCTAGCTTCTTTAGAGGTTCCACAAGGTTCTAATCTAGGTCCATTATTGTTCTTGTTATTTATTAACGATCTGTGTGAATCAATTATCGTAAGCTTCTTTACAATTTTAATATCATTGACTGCTACATGTCTTTTTGAGGTAACACACTTATAATAACGTTTCTATGGATGTTTGGTTTTTCATATTGTTCTTTTTAGATGAACTGATGATGCTTTCTGATTAGAAAGCGAAACGTCTTCAATAAATAGATGAGTACTCGCTTCAGCGGTACATATACTAAAATTGGAACGATACAGATATTAGCATGGCCCCTGCACAAGAATGACACGCAAAATCGTGAAGCGTTCCACATTTTTATGTATGGCCATTTTATGTATATCCGTATGGCCGCTGCCATGTGGGACCCTAAGACAAGGTATAAACAGGGTAAACGACTTAATGAAAATTTTACATTTTCAGCAGAACTTATTGCAATACTGAGAGCAATACAGTATATAAGCAGTATAAACAATAACGAAGAGAAATTTCTAATCCTTACAGATAGCAAAAGTGCTTTACTTAAACTTAAAAGTTTGAAGGACATATCAAACTACATATATATTGACATTATTAAAGCATATATCGCACTTAAGGCTAAAAGCAAACAAATATCATTTTGTTGGGTAAAAGCTCACTCTAATCTTAAACACAATGAAATAGTAGATACTTTAGCTAAGAAGGCCATCGAACAAGAAAATGAAAGTGAATATAAATTAACATTAAATGATGTTTACGCTAATATTACCAGCAACAAAACCAAAATCCGGCAACAATGGTATAACAACTCAACTAAAGGGCTATTCTATAAAAACATACAATTAAATATTACAGCTAAATCTTGGTTTAATCATGATTACAGCGAAAAAATCGTTGTTTCATACATATGTAGACTTAGATTTGTACACTGCCTAGTTCCAGAACACAAATTTAAAATAGGTCTTAGTGATAGTAATCTTTATGAATGTGGTGAGTTAGGATCTACAGAACACATGATACTAAACTGTAGACTAAAGATAATAGAAATAAATCAATTTGTGAATCAATCATATAGAGAAACCAATATTACAAGACCTTTTAATATAAAAACAATATTAAATCTAGTTTAGACGAACGTGTATATGAGATCCTAATTAAACACATACTTAATATAAAATTAAAATTGTAGACTATTAATACCTGTGTTTATCCCATTTGTCTACCTATCTTTCTGTGGTCTAGTTTTGTGTGTGTGCGTTGCGTTGAAAGACCCCAGAGCAGAAGTACTCCTTGTGGACATTCCTTATAACGTAATTAAAAAATAATAATAACAAATAAAAAAAAAAAAAAGAAAGAAAAAAAATTACATATATATATATATATATATATATATATATATATATATATATATATATATATAGAAAATAATAAAAAACATACAATCAAGAATAATGTTGAATAATACTAGAATATATTTTATGATATAGATATATCTATATAAATGTGTAATATTGTATGATTGTAGCTAAAGATTAAATTATCCATTTATTGTTATAGAATCTAGGTATATCTTTAAAATACAAAATCTTATTTTAATAGTAATATGTAACATAAATATCTGTAGAGCAAAAATAAGTTCGACTAATGGATTAAGTCCACAGTCAGTAAATTCGATGACACACACACACACACTCAATAAATAGATGAAGTAGCCATCTTCTTTGTCTTTTTTCTCTTCACCTTTTGACCGAAAAAACCCACCACTCTTCTAGTGATCCTTAATTTGTATATATATATATATATATATTATTATGTATTATACATATATATGTACATGTATATATGTATAATACATAATAATATATAATATAATATATATATATATATATATATATATATATATATATATATATATATATATATATATATATATATATACAGTGGTGAGTGCTTTATCAACCGGCTTTTTAACGCAAGAGATAGAAAACACAGTTACCTTGTGAAATAAAAAGAGATGAAACTCGTAGAGGTGGGAAATAATCGATAGAAACCTATAATTTACATTACATTGCATTAACACTATCGATAGTCTCACACCTTTAGACGTTAGTTCAGCTAAATCACCTCGGTCATAATTATTATTTGTGACGTCGTATGTGTAACGTATTTCAGTGACATTTTTTTTAAATTTGCATAAAGTAAAAAATGATTGACCACAATTAAAAGCAAAAATGTGAATACAATAAATTAATTATTAGTGCATATTTAATCTAAGGTTTTAAATTAATACCCAAAAATAATTTCTATGATTTGAGGAGTTTCATACACTCTTGTCACGGAAATAAACATCAGTCCTTTGTGGATTAGTGGTAAGAATTCGAAACTGCGACGCAGACGATTAGAGTTCAAAACCCATATGTGGTTTTCTTTTTTTTTTTTTAATAATTTGAAATTATGCAGAGATCGTTTTGATTTGAATCACTAAACATTTATGTCAGTCGTTACTAGTATTAGAAGTGTTTAAAGTTACACATAAATATCTTGTTGAATTTGAATTATTTTGTATTTCCGTTTTATAACATTGGAATAAGAATAAATTGTAAATAATGAGTTTTTGAAAACTTGTTACCTAATATGTATAATATTTTCTATTATTTTTTGATTGAGTAAAACAAAAATTTTATCCTTGGTGGGAATTGAACCCCAATCTTCTTGTCAGTAGACTACGTGTCTAATAATTACACCAACTCCACATACAATTAATGTTTTCGCACGGAACATACCTACCTTTAGTTTAGTGAAATATTTCAGTTGAGTTATTTTTATTATTAAATAAACTTAAAGATTTATAATTTAAAATCGCTACTAATTAATGTTTTTTACTTTAATTCTTAATTTATTTAATCATTTATTCTTACATCAGAAATTATTAAAATAAAATATTTTCGCGGTCATCCGTATAATTATGACTGAAGTCAAATAGCCACGTCTAAGAACTAGCTTTATCTCATTCTTTCTCACAAAATCCATCTTCTATCCTTTCCGCTATTTTGCCTGGTTTTAAAGCGACTTTAAACACTTCTAATACTATAATAGCGTCTAAAGGTGTGAGACTATCGACGGTGGTAATGTAATGTAATGTAAATTATAGGTTTCTATCGATTATTTCCCACCTTTACGAGTTTCATCTCTTTTTATTTCACAAGGTAACTGTGTTTTCTATCTCTTACGTTAAAAAGCCGGTCGATAAAGCACTCACCACTGTATATATATATATATATATATATATATATATATATATATATATATATATATATATATATATATATATATATATATATATATATATATGTATATATATATATATCTTCTTCTTAGAGTGCCATATCCCTACGGAACGTCGGCGACTACCATGCTTATAACATTATTACCACTGCCGCAAATTCCTCAATCAAGAGAGTTTCCTCCGTCCTATCCATTTCTTTCCTTCGATTTTACCGTTGAGAATTAGCCGAAGGAACTCATATGGTCCTATGATTATATGTCCAATATATATATATATATATATATATATATATATATATATATATATATATCAATATAAGGTTGAATGTTCGAATAATTAAACTTTGATAGTATACAAGGCAACTATCGAACACAGTGATTAATTAAATCTTGCCCAAGTACTCTCGATCAATAGATCATCTTCAGGGGCATCTGAAATAAGCCAAGAAACGTTTTTTTAATTGCTTTAATTGCTTAAATAAAGCAATTGCTTTCAATTTTGATTTTAACTTTTAGTAATTTAACTGCATATTCAGATTTTTCCTTTTTTACAGTACTGATAGCGCTTGGTGGACCATTTTATTGTAGTCAACCATCCACTGTCTAATATATTGTTTAGTCTTTTCTTACATTCATACTTTATGTCAACTTTAATCGCTCTCAAACTAACATCCTAATTATTATAGACAGGTTTGAGTGTGAGATTTGGATTATTCAATCTACATAAAAATATACTAATTTTATATTTCATCAGTTGATTTCCTATAGTGGTGTCAGTTGGAACTTTGGTCAATACTTAGTTTCATAGAATTTTGAAAGGTGCAGATCACATAACTGCCCTTTACAAGCTGTCATTTGTCACATGTCATCTCAACATTTCCTCCAGACCGGTAGCCCATTTTGTCTCCGGCTTCTATATAACATGTAGTTTCTCCTTTTTAAAATTTTAAAGTGTTTGTTTGTCTTTGTGTATTGTATTGTTATGTCCAAATTTACATGTATGACATTCTACTCATGTTGGATAGGCCACAACTGACGAAGTAAGTCTATAAACGTTTATCACAAAAAAACTTTTTTCAACCATAAACTTGGAGTTTTTATCCAAGTGAATTAATTTTCCTTCTTATTAAAAAAAACGTTTCTTGGCTTATTTCAGATGCCCCTGAAGATGATCTATTGATCGAAAGTACTTGGGCAAGATTTAATCAATCACTGTGTTCGATAGTTGCCTTGTATACTATCAAAGTTTAAATATATATATATATATATATATATATATATATATATATACATACATTATATATATATGCAGTATACATATATTTATATATATTATATATAATATATTATATATATAACATATATATATATATATATATATATATATATATATATATATATATATATATATATATACGTATATATATATTTGTAAAGAATTAAATCTTTTAGCGAAAGCCGCTATCGCTTTATATATTAACGAATTTGTTTGTTTGTTTGTTTAACGAATTTGTCTCCTAGGCCATATAATAGTATATATATTTATATATATATATACGTATATATATATATATATATATATATATATATATGTATATATATATATACATATAGAAATGAAACTACGCAGAAAATATATTTATTGCTAGTTTATGTTGTAACACAAATATTAACAACGATATTTACACTGACGTTTATCTTGTTCTACCTGAATATCCTCTATAGTCAACAACTTCGTTTCTGGTAAAAATTTAGCAATAAGGATGAATTGAATTACAGAACATACAGAGCAAACTAGGAAAGGCACAAATAGCCCAAATGAAGTATACCAGCTAAATAATTTGATTGCCAATGTTACTGCAACGTTTGTAATAGTATTAACTATACATAAAGCTACACTTTTAAGGTGTGTTGGGAATATTTCTGCAATGAAGATGATGGGTATTACGTGCAGTCCAACACCGTATCCAACAGTATAAAGATATACAAATATCAGCTGCAAAAAGTCCAAGGTACTTGTGTCTATGTTGGTAGCTAACTTAATGTACAGATAAAGCCCGTTAAAAAACAAACACAAAGCAGTAACACCTAATGATAGTAATATTAGGACTCGTCTTCCAATTCTGTCAGTTAGAGTAAAGGACACAATAGTTAACAGAAAAAAAGATAAGTAGTAGATAATATTAGCAGTGTTGGGTGCCAAAAAGCTGTTATTCTCCAACAAAACGGTTTTAGTGTAGTATTCGAAAGGTAAAAGTCCGCTTAGAAGCTGCGTCAAACTCAGTAAAAGAGATAGCATAAGGCATTTTCTATGCGATTTGTAGAAGAATATATCAGACAATTTTGTTTTTCCCTCGGCTTCATCGATACTTTTTTGTATATTTTCTACTCGGTCCCTTACGTCGTACTTTCCGATAAGTTTTCTGATGCTCTTTCGTGCTTCGATTTCTTTTTCAACAATTAAGAAAAAATACGGACTTTCCGGTAGTAGTGGTAATATAAATAAACTTAATACTGTGACGGTGGAAGAAACACATGCTGCGGCTGATATCGTGAGTGAATTGAGTAAAATATTTTCGACTAGGACTCCAAGGGATAAAGTTGATGCGAATGTTCCAACGATGAAACCTCTTATATCAGCGTCTGCTATTTCTGTTAAGTATGAAGGCACTATAGTGAAGAGTAGTCCATCTATGATACCTGAAAAAGATGTTTAAGTCACGACAGAGTTCTAAAGTTTGAATATAATTAGTTTCAATATAATTTAGTTTCAATAATGCATATATGGCTCAGCAGTCAAATAAAATTTTAATACACGCAAAGTATTTTGTAAATGTCAAAATTATGGGGGGATAACTCTTCTAAACATAATATACAAAATGTTGTCCAAGTGTGGAGGAACTCATTGGTGAATAGAGTGAATAGAGTTTTTGTGCTGTACGCAACTATTTCAAGCTTTGAAAAAAATTAGGTCTTAAGATGAACTTGGAAAAAACAATAATATTGACAAATACATCGAGCACTAGAGAAATAACGTTGAACGACATAAATTTAAAATCAGTAAGCGAATACATCTACCTGGGACAGATAAGAGAAGTTAACAAAGAATATCAAACTGCCGAGATTACCAGAAGAATAAGATTAGCGTGAGCAGGATTTAGAAAACTGAGTTGGATCTTGAAAAACACTAAAATAGAACAATATTTGAAAACCTAAATTTACGAACAATGTATCCTCCCTATACTCAAGTATGGTTCACACACGTGGACGCTTACCAATCTAATATGAATAAAATAGTAAAGGCACAAAGAGCGATGGAAAGATCAGAGGAAGATCATAGATGAGATGGGCTGATGATATTAAGAAGATCGGAGGACACAACTGGAAGCAAGTGGCGCAACTGGAATGATTTAGTCAGTGTTTTCTATAGCCGGAACAAATTGGAAATATGTTGCTCGGGATAGAGACCGATGGAAGGAGTTGGGAGAGGCCTATGTCCAAACATGGACAATAGAAGGATAAAAAGAAGAAGAAGGATTGATTTGGGAGGCCTATGTCCAAACTTGGATTTCTTAAAGCTGAAGACGAGGACAAAAGAGAGATGTAATATCTTTCATAAAAATAGTAGACTTAGATGGGCTCGACATGTGTCAATATCAAATGAAAATTACACAGCCAGACGAACCTTATTAGCGACACCAGTAGAAAATAGGAGTAGATGTAGACTAAGACTGAGATGGAGCGTTGGCGTGAAATTAGACCAAATAGTTTGTAAGTTATTAAATTTTTTATCGCGAAGAGCGATTATTTAAACAACTATACTTGCTCAAACAGTGTCTGTCGGTATATCACATATCGCCATCGATTCTTTGACGCTTGAGTTTTAAGATGTATTAAAACAATTTAAACATTTTATCAAAATTGCTATTAAGAAAACCGTTTAAAAAAGCGCTGACTTTTTAGCTTATAAAAATGCTGCAAACAATAAATACCTGAACTCCACTATGGCCCAGGTGTACAGGTAGGCTTAAAAGAAGATGACTTGACGACAATACGATCTGACGTTAGACATAATACACACATATTGCAAGTGTTTGATGTGGATGTATTTGTAAAAGTTACACAATCTTGATTTATAAGTTAGTAAATTAGCTGCAAAACATAAAACTTTATAGATTTATTACCACATTAATAAATAAAAAACATTGTTATTTGTATGCAACATACCTGCTATAGCCCTACTAACAAACAAGTTCGTCTTAGAATCTGCTACAGCTATCAAGATCCATGATATTGTCAACGGTATCGATGAAAAATGGATAATTTTCTTTCTTCCCAGCTTGTTCGTCAAACATGCTCCCAATACACCTCCTATTATAGACGTCAAAGGAACTAAAGATACTAGCCAGGAGGCTTCATCCTTGGAAAGTCTATAAATGTTATTTTCACCAAGAAGTGTGGGAAAAGCTGTGGATGGCCAGCCATAATGAAAACCAAGGGAGAGAGTTCCTAAATTTGCTAAAAATAAAATAGAATTTAGCAGTACAGTTTATTTTAAATATATTTAATTGAACATCATCGTTGTATTTACATTCCATTACATTTTGTTACAGGTTAAACGAAGCCAAGTAACTATGTATCGTTTTTATCATTAGATTATTACAATTCATCTTCTCTAACGTATCTATTAGAAGTATAAAATTCATAAAATATTAATTAATAATTAACTTTTCAAGTAGTCATAATCTTTCTTTACTTTCAAGTACTGGCCTAAATAATTAGAAACATGGAGCTGCTATAGTGTCTTTGATATTCGGTGCTATCAAGCCGTATTTAAGACTGACATAAAATTAAATCAGTCATAAAGTAGGATTCAAATATAAATTGTAACCTGTCGAGTGTCAATTTTTGGTTACTTTTAATTTAAATTTCATGAGGACCGTGCTATGTCCTATGAATCTCTTTGAGGTTGTAGCATGTATAAAATTCCTTGTAAAAATCGAATATTCATATTAATATCAAGTATAAAATTTATTTGGTACGCCCCTGGGTCAAGTATAAAAGATTGCTGAGTCTTTGTGTTTATATTCCACATTCCAAATTCCAGTTACCACTGCGAAGTTAAATAATTCATATTTTGCGTTTAAAAAAGTCTTCGAATTTCAACCCATGGCTTAAGGTTGAATCTTCCGTGCAACGGGTCTTTGAAAAGGATTTTGGTTGGCCCATTGCGAAGACCGGCTGAGGGGTGAGACGAAACACTGAATGCCGGCACCGAACAACCCGAAGGTGCACTCCGATAAATTTACATTGGTAGCTGTCAGACACATTCGGTGACCTTGCGCCATTTTTTTAGTGTACAATTACAGTGTTTACGATTGCACAAAATCAAATTATTAGCGAAACAAATAGTGATCTAACCTAACAACAAACACAAAATGATCTGTCAACGACGTGACTGTGAACTTAAAATATGGCCGCTGACCTGCGCAAACCAGATGCGCGAACAATTACCGCCGAGTCGAGTGCACCTTCGGGTTGTTCGGTGATGCCGGTACGAGGCGTCAGGTCGAAATAAAGTCGGGTTTGGAAGAGAGGTCATGGAGAGCAGACGGCAGCGTGTGTAGTTTGAGTGAATCGGCAATTTTGTTAAAAAAAGTTATTTATATTCAACGTAATGAGTCAGTTCTGAAAGACTAATCACCGTTTTTAGTTCTATGCTGTCTCTCATCTGATATAATTGTAAAACGGCGTTTACAACAATTTTAAAGAATAACCACATGTGTTCTAGTTTTTTAAGAAGCTAAAGAGTCTTAGGAGTCTAAAATTTGGTGACAGTGAACAGCTTCCATCTTCATTTTGTCTGTCTAAACAGTCTAAAGTCAGTCTAGGCTAATTCGCAGTGTGAGGTGCAGTTTTTTGCATGGCAGTAAATCTCCAGTTCCAACCTCAGAAATTTAAATAAAAGTAACATTTAGTGAAACCCAGGTAACTTTTTTTGTTTGAACTTTTAAAGTAAAAATGGACATTTTTTCATTACTAATTAATTTCATACAGGTTAAGAAATTGTAAGAATTAAAATTGTAGATGATAGGGTGTCATTAAGTTGCCATATTAATTATTCCCAAAATTTTAAGATTTAGTATTGACATATGACAGTTAGTACTATTTTTTTGAAAGTTGATACATATCTAATCATAAATTTAGATTTCTGTTTTGTTAAAAAAAAAAACGTTAGCCTCTATGCATAGTTTCATTTTAAAAGCTATTTTTCATTTCTAATTTTATCTAACATAGTAAGTTTGTTTTTGATATTTTGTATTTCATTTTTATTATTTTTAGTTGTAAACTGTTTGTGGTGAGACAACAATAAATATTAAATTTTGTTCCTAAACCATTTTCTCTATTTCTTTAAAAAAAAGTTTCTAACCCCTTTTTGTGTTTTTAGGAAGGTAGAGCCTTTTCTTTCATCCAGCAGGAAGATTTTTCAAAGCGGCGTCATTATATTAAATAGCTTGAGAACCATATTGTGCTTTGTTTGTAAAGGTGACTCATGTAAGTGCTCCTTTTGTTTTATTTTTGGTAGTTACCCCATTTCAGTCCCCTCGTTATTCACTTATCCACGACCCAATTCTCCAAATTGTTTGTGGTGAGACAACAATAAATATTAAATTTTGTTCCTAAACCATTTTCTCTATTTCTTTAAAAAAAAGTTTCTAACCCCTTTTTGTGTTTTTAGGAAAGTAGAGCCTTTTCTTTCATCCAGCAGGAAGATTTTTCAAAGCGGCGTCATTATATTAAATAGCTTGAGAACCATATTGTGCTTTGTTTTTAAAGGTGACTCATGTAAGTGCTCCTTTTGTTTTATTTTTGGTAGTTACCCCATTTCAGTCCCCTCGTTATTCACTTATCCACGACCCAATTCTCCAAATTAAACCTGAGTAGCCGTTCGTAACAGTTTTGTTTATTTTACTTGCCCTATGTCCACCCCAATAATTTCTCTCCCAAATTTTCAACCCCCTGTAATAATACCCTATGTGGTAGGCAAAATAATTGTAACAAGGTTTATAGAAAATCAAAAATCATCCAGACAATTATTTAACAATTATTTATTAATTTGGTAAAGTTATTTGTTATCTTGGTTAACAAGGATTTGTAATCTCTGGATGTTTGGATATTTTCGACCTTCTCTTCTTGGCCACATGCCACCATTTATAGGCAAGAATTATATTTTAATATAACGTCGGATTTGACATACAAAGTAAAACCTTCAGTGGTTTTTTTTTAAATAAAATTTATACCTCATATATGTCTTGCGTTCTGATGTGACCACTTATTTCAGGTCTTTTTATTTATGTTGTTCAGAAATCTTGTTTCTTTCGAGTCACTCTTTTTAAAATGTTATCAGTGCAGCTTTAAATACCAGCGTAGAAACAAAGAAACTAAAAATACCATTGGTGAAAAATAAAGGAAAACCAGAAAGTTGCTTTCCCGGAAAAGATTGTAAACGTTACCTACAAAAACAAAAAGTGTAAGGAAGGATCCATTTAGTTTTTTTTAATATTTTAAAGCGGAACTTAGATCCCACGTCAAAGCAACCCACAAAGAAACGAATGTTAGTTCTAGTATTATAATAATATGTAATATACTTGTTTTGATAATATAGTCTGATGTGCGCTGAAACGAACGTTCTTGCATATATATTGTTTTGCTTTTCTCTCTCTTTTTTTAAGAGAATAAATAGATTATATAAAAATCCAAGTCAGCAGCAACTGCATTAGTTCATTAGTATAAATACGTAGATTATGAAATCCAAATTCTCAGGGACAACCAAACCGCTGAACTGCAAAAAATAATCATTTGAGCATGGACAGCATATGGAGCTATATCAGACATCTTCAAGAGCACAATGCCATATTATTTGAAAAAGAAGACGTTTGACCAATGTGTGCTTCCAGTCATGACCAATAGCGCCGAAACAGTTTCGTTAACCCAGGCCACAGCAACCAAACTCAGAGTGGCTCAAAGAAGAATGGAACGGGCGTTACTTGGACTGACTCTTAAAGACAGAGTTGAAACAAGGAATAAGAAGTATTACAGGCAACACAAATGTCATAGAGCACATAGCATTTAAGTGAAACTAGGCGTGTTATGGGGTCAGAATAAATGGCGGGTGGTGAATTATAAATAATACAGTGTGGAGACGACGAGCAGAAAGAAAAAGCAAAAGTAGACTATCGACATGATGAACAGACGACATCAAGATAATCGCTGGGAATTGGCTGCAGAAAACTCAAAACCCACATAACTGGAAGAAATTAGACGATGTTTATTTTCTTACTTTGGACGCAGTTTATATTATGTGTATATTTATATATGCAATTTGTAATTAATAAAAAACATTAAGAGCTGTATATAATACGTCATTGGTTAGAGTGAAAGGCACGAAGAAGATGAAGGAAAGAATAGAATGAAATTGGATGGAAAAAATAAAAAACGAAGTAATCGAAAAATAAGAAAACAACGAGAGGCTCCTACAAATCGACAACTTCAGAATTAAAAAAGTAATGAAATACAACTTTGTGGGAGTGATCTTAAGAACAACTGGAAAAGAAATAAATTAACAAAGAATGGTAAGAGACAACTATTATTCGGAAGAACTAGAAAGATAATTAAAAGTAACCTAACCTAACAGAAGTAGTAGCTATGTATATTCCATATCAACCCCTAATAGACCCAAATTGCCAATTGTAAATTAGCCTTCTGTTTTCTTCACGGGGTAACAATTGACCGAGTAAGGCAGTTTGTACTTCTTCTAAGTGCAGGAAAATCATTATTCGACAAACAAGAAAACAGTACCCCAGGCAATACAATTTCTGGTAATATTACAGATGCTATTCGTGAACATATTAAATCATATCTTACGAAGTTAGCTCACTATACTAGAAGAAAAAAGTATGATTTAAATGAGAAACTATAATATATTATTCTTGTATACAAAAGTTTTACAGAAAAATTTCTGGAATATACCATTGTTAAATATTTCTACTACAGAAAAGTTTTTAAACAAGATTTTGAATTATCATTTAGAAGAACTTGGGTAGACACAAGTTGTGTGTGTGTGACGGAGCTTGCAATGAAAATAAATAGTACGCATTTGAATGATATAATTCAAAGAGAGTTGCAGACGCCGAGAAAACGACTTATTTACGTCGAGCTAAGAATTTTTAATTCAAATAAAATTTGTTAAAGAAATGGCCGAGTGCGACAAGGAAATTGGGGTTATTTCTATAGATTTTATGTAGAACCTTCAACTGCCACAAATTCCGGTGAACGAGGTTTTCTGTCTTCGCCAGGCCACAGTGAACGTTTTTTATATTAACAATAATAAAATAGGAAAAGTAACGTTTTTTTTTGTATCATGAGGGTAACGGTACGAAGAGGTCCAATGAAATTTGCTTATTTAGCCCGAAGAGGCCCAATGCCGTTAGTGAAATATCTTTAAGTTTTCACTTACGGTTGTGGAGCGCAAAATAGAAACCACACTGTGTTAAGGTGTTTTCCGCTTTAAGTTCGCTCGAAAAATTTAAGCCCATTGACCATTATTTTCCTATTAGGGGTCATTTCTTCCTACCCAGTGATAGGGATTTTGCGGTGATTAAAAGAAAAATTAGAAGTAGGTTGTATATACACCATGGAAGAATATGGACAGCTGATAAAAACTTCATGTAACAATACCTGCTTTAATTTTGTATTGGTAAATGCCGAAGACGTACTTGATTACAAAAGTTGGTGGCCAGAGTATTACAAAACAATGTTATCCGCGGAATGCAGTGTCAAAAATATTCCAAGGAATCAGAATTTTCAACTAAAAATAAGCCAATTCATGCATTTTCACCCCTCTGTGGCTCAGTGGTAAGAGCGCCTACCTTTAAACGTAAATATCGTAAGTTCGAATCTCATCTGGGTGGAGAAATTTTCGTTTATTAAAAATTAATAAATGAACATAATTTCTATCCTTGTGCGATCGGTACTCACCGAAGGGACCGCAGACGTTCGGATACAATTAGCGTCTCTTAGCAAAGACAATGACGTCGACTTTGCTAAGTTTCAAGACAATTACTCTACACACACACACACACACACACACACACACACACACACACACACACGCACATACTACACTAGGTACCTCACCGTACCATGCCAATGATCTTATTTGTCGAGGCATTAACTCAATAATAAAAAAAAAATGCATTTTCACCACTCCTACGAGAACTCAAACTTGGTTGTAGCACAGCCTTTTATTAACGAATTAGGCAATCACACCTTTAAGCTTAACAATAATAAAAAAATACACTAACATTGTCTGAAGCATCGGCATATCCAAGTAGAAAGATTCCGATTAATTATAAAAAAAATGTTGATATACAAAAACTACAAATTTATATACATGATGTTGAAAATATTTAAGATTATTACAATAAATTGTTCAACTGGCCCACAACGACCAATAATATACCTGAAGAAGATGAATGATCCCACTTTTCGTTTTTTTTAATTGTAATAATATTTTTTGTACTTCTTACTATAAATTACAGTACTGTGTGTATTTTGTTTTATTTTGATTCCTTCTAAAGTTTAGTTTCAGGGGATGCTGAGCAATTTATTTGAGGAACCCGATAAGCCAATAAGTTTCAGCTTCTATAGAGCTTATTCCCAATCTTTTTTTCAAAATAATTGAAGTGAAAAAGTCAAGAAACAGTGGATAAAATTGAAATAGGTCAGTTGTTAACATGTAGAAATCTTCATGTTTTTCTCACACAGTTTTTTCTTGTTTTCTAAAAGTTTTAGTTTTGTATTTATGGAGTTTCCCAAATAAATGATTCAAATAATATCAAACGACGAAGACGACATAATATTCATGACTAGAAGGCTGATCAAAGAATACGCATTACAAATAAAATGTCTTGTAGTTGGGAGAAAATTATAAGATATCAATCAAACTGAACAATGGATTATCTTCTTCTTCTTTCGATGCAAATCCACTAATGGATGTTAGCGATCACATTTTCCATTAATTCTCTATTTCTTGCAATATGTATCAGATATTGTATGTCGTTAAACCCTGTCCATTGCCTTATGTTTCGGAGCCAGGACATTTTCTTGCGTCCCATTCCTCTCTTGCCTTCAATTTTACCCTCGATTATAAGTTGGAGGAACTGGTATTTTTCATTTCGCATGATGTGACCTAGATACGCCGTTTTCCTTTTCTTGATGGTTTCGAAAAGTTGGCGTTCTTGGTTTATTCTTTTAAGGACATCTATACTTGTGATTTTCGCTGTCCATGGTATTTTTAGGATACGGCGATAAAGCCACATTTCGAAAGCTTCTAATCTGTTTATATCCCTCGTTTTGAGTGTCCAGCCCTCTACGCCATATAGCAGCACTGACCATACGTAGCACTTAGTAAACCTTAGTCTCAGTTGAAGATCAAACTCTGAACAGGTCAGTACTTTCTTGAATTTTACGAAAGCTTGTCGAGCTTGCTCAATGCGACATTTTCCTTCCCTGTCCGATGCCCAGTCTTCAAAAAGCCACGATCCCAGGTATTTAAATTTACTCACTCTTTCAATGGACTTAGTATTCAGCAATGGATTATACACGGCTATAAGTTTAAATAAGTGTCTGGGAATTTATATAGCCAAAGATTCAATTAAAAGGAAAGGATTAATGATAGCACCTAAAAAATTAAAAATTGCACATAAACTCAGAAAATTAATAGAAATGACAATAAGATCTACAAAAATTAGTATAAAGACACAAAGATGAGAGACCGACGAATTCAGTTTAAACAAAGGGATGAAACAAGTAGATACCTTATCAACAACGCCATTTAATCTAGCCTTAGAATATGTACTACGGAATATAAATGAAGGAAATCTCAGACTAAGAGGTGGTCAAATAATCGCATATGCAGACGATATTGCTATTATTGCAAAGAACAGGAATATAATGAAAGAAATGCTATAGAAGAAATAAAAGAGAAAGGGAAGGTATTGGCACTAAGATTAAATCAACAAAAGACAAAAATATTAAGATTAGGAAGAAAGCCAATGAAAGAAAAAATGAAAATAGGAAGTTCTGAGTTTGAAGAAGTAGAATTCTTCAAATACCTATGAGTTACAATAAGCAAAACCGGAGAAAGGAAGTCCGAAATAAAAGAAAAAATATTAGCAGCGAATAACTCTTATTTTGCAAACAACAGATTACTTAAGAGCAAAACACTGATTAAGAAAATTAGACAAACATTTATAACACCATAATTACGCCAATATTATTATACGCAGAAGAAACAATGACGATGGCCAAAAAAGATGAAGAAGACTTAAGAATCCCATACTGGGATCAATTAGAACAGAGTAAAATAAATATAAAAGAAGAACAAATGAAGAGATTAAGAAAGAACTTAAGGAAGACGTTGCGACTAAAATAAAGCAATGCAGAGTTAGATAGTTAGGTCACATTTGACGAGCAGGAGATGAAGCAGTGACATACGCAATGACAGAATGGAATACAGGAGGAATAAAGAGAGGGGGAAGACCAAGATCAAAGTCGCTGCAAGAAGTTGAAGAAGACCTCAAAAGGGCAGGAGTCAGAGAATGAAGAGGAAAAACTAGAGACCGGTATGATACCATAATAACTCTACCAAAGTCAACTTAATCAAACAGATGAAAAATAGAGTAATTAGATCAGATCAGAATTTGTCCTCCTAGGCCATATATTTGGCCAATTTAATACAACAAAGCGATAGCACCTTTTTGCTAAAAGATTTATTCTTTACACATTTCGCATAGCCCAGAGGTAGAAAACGATGTGATTATATCGTTTTCGTTCACGGCCGCCAAAGCAGGTGGCGCCTCTGCTCGCAAACCACTGCAGTGGTGAAGCTTTAGGAGACATTCGTTCTACTTTTCGTGTTTGAATTTGTATCAGCCCAAGTGTCTGACGATGGATGGGATAGGCCGAAATGATCATAACACTTTAGTGATACCCATTCGAGCACGGGAAGTTTAACGAATTTGTCCTACTAGGCCATATATTTGGCCAATTTAATACAAAAGTAGCGATAGCAGCTTTTTGTTAAAAGATTTACATATATATATATATATATATATATATATATATATATATATATATATATATATATATATATATATATATATATATATATATATAAAGTAGTTAGGTATTATTGACTGACACGTTATGTAAAATAAAGTTTTATTTTGAGGATGCAGTCATTTAAGTAGGGCAGGATAAGTTAAACTCTTTGTTCTTAAGTCAAGCTTTCGCAAAATTTATTTGCTTCATCAGGATATGCTAAAATATGTTATGGTACATACAATGAAATTAGATCTAAGAAACATTGTATAAAACTAATATAAAAACTTACATGAGGTTAAACCATTAAATTATTAAATTCACAAAACATTCTTAACTTACCTAAATTATATTTTTTATACAATGTTTCTTAATTCTAATTTCATTGTATTTACCATAACATATTTTAGCATATCCTGATGAAGCAAATAAATTTTGCGAAAGCTTGATTTAAGAACAAAGAGTTATCCTGCCTTATCCTATAAGAACTTATCCTGCCCTACTTAAATGACTGCATCCTCAAAATAAAACTTCATTTTATATATATATATATATATATATATATATATATATATAAAGATAACACTAGAAAGAGCATTAATAACACAATAAATCAAAACCCAACAGTTATCCAAAAGTCATACTTTATGTTATAGTCAACAATATTAGGATAGCAACAAAAATAAACTTACAACATATGGCGCATGATGTTATCAGTTAACTAATCCAAATAATAATAAATTGAAAGTGATGAAAATGGATTTTCATCCAGGATCATTCAGAGTTTTGACTTGATGCCAGACATAAAGAAAGGATTATATTAGCAGTAAGTATAGAGCACATAAATACCAAAAAGAAATTTTGATGCAACGAAGAATAAAACAAAAACATACCAGTGGATGAAAATATGTTTAGAGGGAGATACTTTTGTAGATCCGTTAGGAAACGTAAATAATATAAGTGGAAGCTTATAACAGACCTAAGCATTACTTACATATGAACCAAAAATTAAATATATCACGCAGAAATCAGTTCCCAATGTGTATAAAAAGCAAAGACAATGACGATAGAATTTTTCTTTTAAAAGCAAATTGATAAAATAATAATACCATGGAATAATACCAATCATTTTTGGTCAAATCAGTGATAACACTTTATCTATATACTATAAATAAAGTGCATAACCTTTAACAACAGTATCATTTTGCAGAAATTCATTATTGTGAACAAAAACGATCACTTTTTGCAATAAAACTAAAAATCTATTTTATAAAACCTTAGGCACAAAAACTAAATCACGTTTTAGATCAACTAAAAGTTTAGCACTTACCACCGACTGCAGCTATGTATTGATATATCCTTGATTTGAACTTAGGACCTTCGATAGCTGGTTTCATTATCTCTTACAAGTCACGGTCACACATTGAATGAGTTTATTTACGTGATTTTTAATATTGTCTTTTACTTTTCTGGCAGTAGCTAGCAATATCTATTAGGCCAGTTGCTTCTGATCAGAAGATTCGAATTACAGTTGGGGTTTAAAATAACAATAATTTTTTACAAAATATTTCTCATCAAATGTCTTCTTCTTGTCCGTATCTAGGATTAGGAATTACTCTTTTATTTTCTCTTTGTGCCGATCTAAGCAATTTAGGAGAAGCACACGAACCTCGAACAGGTCTATGCAGAAATCAAGAAGGACAAATAACCTGTGATTAAAAAAAAAATAAAATCAGTCTGGAAAACTTATTTCCAAACTCTCCTAGGGACGCAAGAAATTGAAGAGCATATTGACATGCATTATATTGAGGGAGGCACAGAAAATATAGAACCCCCGATATTAGAAGAGGTAAAACAAGCATTACGAGAACAGAAGAATAACACGGCTACAGGTATTGACAACTAACCCTCTGAACTATGTAAATTAGATGGCGAATATAGTAAGACAAATGCATATGCTATGAACAAGATTTGGAATGTGGGAAAGATCCCTAGCGACTGAAAAACCGGAATTTTATGCCTAATCTATAAAAAGGGGATAAACTGAAATGCGAAAATTATCGCGGCGCATAACCCTCTTGTGCACAGCGTAAAAAGTTTTTACTTATATACTAAATAAACGACTCCAACAACTAAAGTAGGGTTTACATTATATCACTTTTAATGTACATCCAAAGTGAATCACTCAGAGTGAAATCATCCAGGGTAATCATCCTCGTTTACATATTTTCATCCAGTTTGCTGGTTTTACCTCTCGTGTACACAGTGTTAGTGTCTGTGAAAAGTTAAAGGTCAACTACTAGAGTAGTGGTGATGTCTTCTCGTTCAAGAAGGAATCAAAAAATTATTCGCAGTGGCATTGCCTTAATTTCACGTGGACTGACTGCTACATGAAGTGAACGCAATTTTATCGACACGTAAACGTGCTCAAAGATGTTGGTGGGTGAAGCCATGGGTTTCAAAGAGAACAAATCTGGGAGCTTCGTCAACCCTGTTAAGATAATGGGCACAGGAAAATCCTAAGGTGTATAGAAATCACTTAAGAATGAACCAGGAGCAATTCGCATATCTTCTAGACAAAGTAACTCCGTTAACAAGAAAAAAAGATACTTGGTTCCGAGAAGCTTTAACCTACAATAAAAATACAAATGACGCTACGATATCTAGCGACTAGAGATAATATAGGTACCTTAAGTGCACTGTACAGAATTCCAAGAAGCACATTTTCACGGTTTTTGCCTGAGGTATGCAAGGCTATATACAACTCTTTGGCAGATTTTATAATGGTATAATTAAAAATAATGTAAAATAATTTATTATAAAGGCATTAAATCATCACGAACTATTAATCCTGCTGAAGAAAGGGCATTGGACAAAACATAACTGTTATATTGAGTGCTTTCATAATAGTCATCTTTTTCGGTAGATTGGTAGTAATGGTTTTGTGACTGCCGTGAATGTGTGCTGCTTTACGCTGATGACATCGCAGAGTACCGGCCTGAAGTTGGTATCGACTGTTGATAATCAGCAGGTGACCTGGACGACATAGATGGGTGAGACTGAGGGTGTGATGAGAGTTGGAAGAGTCGCTCTTGTGTCATCACTTTCTGTAGCTGTTCTTGACAGATAAGAGCCCTATCTAAAGGCATTTTTTTCAACTGTGTAGCAAGGCTGTCACAAAACACGTCGAATTCGTTCAGATCCTGCTTATTTTCTTCCGATAGTGTCTCCAATTGTTTTATTGAGTCCTGAACCCCCGAAAAGGTAGTATTGAGAGAACGTTTACGCCCATTTGTGTTTTTTGAAGTACTCGTAATTACCGCCGAAGACGATGCAATCATATTTGGAGATGTTGTCTCAGTGTCCTGAATGTGTGCTGTTTGCTCAGTTTGCTGTTCACGTTGTTGCAAATGTTGGCTATCATCGGTTGCTTTTCCAGAAATGCCCTTTCTCGTCGATTCTAACTCCTGAAACAAAAAACATGAAATTACATGAAATCAGTCATTCCCGAAAGCAATTGAAAGTTGACACAAATACAAAGCTCTAAAAATAGAATAATGTACACTGTCTAATAATTATTGCTTGTTGCAGTTGCCTAACACAGTTGAAAGCTGGGAAAATGTAATGCGAGACTACGAAACTTTGTGGAATTTTCCAAATGTGTGTGGGGCTATGGACGGTAAGCACGTCACCATCAGGTGTCCTCCAAACACTGATTCACAGTATTTTAATTACAAGAAAAATTTTAGTACGATACTATTCGCAATTGTTGATGCCAATTACAATTTCATATACATCGATGTGGGAACCAATGAAAGAGTAAATGACGCTGCAGTATTTGCGAAATCAACTTTTAATGAAGCCTTGCAAAATAATTGATTGAATATACCGAAACAAGGAATTTTCGTCGCTGAAGATGCCTTCCAATTGAGAACCAATATTATAAACCATATTCCAGATGTGGTCCGCTAACGGAAAAACAAAAAATATTCAATTACAGACTTTCAAGGGCCCATCGCGTTATGGAAAACACATTCGGCATACTTGTGTCGATATTTAGAATCTTTGAGAAACCTATTCCACTTTCTATACAAACAACGGAACAAGTGGTGAAAACTACATGCGCTCTTCACAAGTCCCATATACCCATACCCATACGTCCCGAGAGATATGCTGGATGTTGAAAACTGGGAAGAAGGAAGGGTTCAACCAGGTACCGCTACCCAACATCCACATAGTGGTCTTGAGGAAATACACCACGGTGCATTAAATAACTACATCAGGGCAGCAGAAGAAGTACGAAATTAATATGCTGAACGTTTTGTCACAACAGACATTGTACCATGGCAATTGAAAATGATTTAGTAATCAACAAATTTAATAAAAACATCTGGTTTTTTGGCTTTGAAATTGATTTGTCATTTGGCTTGTGAATTATTATTAGCAAAAATTAATGATACATTATTTTGAGAAAAAGAAATACTTACGTAAGTATATGTATTTGAGAGTACTCACCTTCAAGTTTGAAGAACTTGCTTTTGGAGTGCATATGTTGCGTAGAAACACGTCTGCAAGTTTACACCAGAATAGTCGGGGCTCATAAACGTCATCAGCACTAGCTCCACTTCTTTCTGAATTTTTTATCTTGCAAAGTTCTGCCCCATAACGTGTTTTAATAGTTTTTATTTTTGCCTTGATGTCGGGTACAGTTAATCCAGGCAAATTTAAATCGTCCAGCATTGATAAGTACACTTTTTCCCGTACGTTTGTTTTGCTGTAATCACTGCATTTATTATTCCACAAGCACTCATACCGCTGGTAAATTTCTAGAAATAGTTCCATGTGTTTATCTTGCCACTTGAATGACATTGCCACAATAATAGGTACTTACATAAAAATTTAAATCAAATAAAACTACTTAAAACTACCAAAACCCAAAACAATCGACTGGCATTTTGAAGTGAACGTCGGCAGTTTACATTTGCCACTGGGCCTTCACTCTCGATGAATCATCGCTTCGAGGAACGACTCTTTCATCAAAAGTTGGTCGGGGTCGATATATTTCATCCTTCATCTGAAGTGTACACTTTGGATGAAATTACAATAAAAGGCAATTTACACTTGTCACTTTGGATGATTCCTCCAAGATCATCATCAAAAGTGACAAATGTAAATGGGCCTTAAGTGATAATATTGTCGGGGAATATCAAACCGTTTTCCGATAAGGAACATCTACAATTGACCAGCTATTAATAGTGAAACCAATTCTAAACAAATTGTATATTGTGGATATTATCCATTATATTTGTGGATATTATTATGTGGATATTGACATCCACAACATATTCATAGATTTTAGACTGGCCTAGACATAGCTTTAACATCTCCCAAAAAATACATCTGACCAGTAAAAGCAACAGTGAACTTGTCAACAGGAACTATTAGTGTACAAAATAATCTCAAAGAACTTCAATAGTCAATGGATTCAAACAAGGACTGGCATGGCATCGGCACTATTCAACCTGACTCTTGAATATGTGATAAAACAGCCGAATATAGGAAGAGGTAATCTAACAAATAAATCAATACATATTGCCGCCTATGCCGATGATAATATTAGCATCATCTCTCGTAGAACAGAAAAGGGGCAGACATATATTCACAATTAAGATCAGAGACCGAAAAGGCCAGACTAAAAATAAATATTCAAAAGAAAAAAAAACTAACATAAACAAAAGCTAGGGGAAACAGAAGCACAGTTGAATTAAAGCACGATATTGGAACTCTAGAAAGTTTTACATATCTGGGAGTTACATCCCAGATTCAAAGAAAAATAGTAAAGGGAAACAAAGCTTACTTTTCACTCGCCCATGTGTTCCGCTAAAAAAATACATACTCGAGGCCGAAAGTCAGGGTCTACAAAACTATTATCAGACCAGTAGTATGTTATGGATGGGAGACATGGGTTATGACAGAAGACACAAAACGAAAGCTGGACGTCTTTGAAATAAAAGTCCTAAGAAATACATTTGGACCTATTAACGAAAACAGAGCATGGAGATCCGTGTACAGCCATGAACTTTACCAACTGTTTAAATAGGCACCAATATTAGAATTTGATATACTTCAGAGACTTCGATGAGCTAGTCAAGTAGTAATTCTGGTAATTCTTTTCACTAGTCTGAGAAATTTTATTTATGAATATGTACGAGTACAACAGATAAAAAAGCAGCTTCCAATATAATAACTCATATCTACCAAATTGGATATAATGCTGGAGTTTGAAAAAAAAAACTACATATTTCTAGTCTTAAATCAGCCTCAAAGTTCATGTAAGCCATTCATTGATTACTCGAGCACTAACAGCAAATAAAATGAATTCCTTAGACTTAGGAGCTCATTGAAAAATATTTAAATAGGAGAACGTATTTTTGTGAG